GATGTTGCACATATATGTATATGTATTTATATATTTACTATGTTCATATAAAAAAGAAAAAGTAAATACGTCACGTATAGCTAATATTTAAATTTATTCCTCTCATATTTAACAAATATTCCTGGATTTATAAAACAAGCGATATATCAATTTATTTCATTAATTTTTTTTATCATTTGTAAATTACAAATTAAAATGCTATTTAGATAAATTCAAAATGCGATCAATAAAAAGTTAGCCCCCTCTCCCAAAAAAAAGAATAAATTAGTAAATTATAATACTATCGTTGTTATCAGATTTTATATTATTATGTAACACTATAGGACAAAGGTTAAATAGGTCACTGTTCAAACATACGTTCGAATATTTTTTATATTAAGCTCACAAGAAAAAAAAAGAATATGCCTGAAAACATCAATCGTTCGGGCCCATTCATAGGAGCAATTGACGAAGGGACGAGTAGCGCTAGATTCTTAGTAAGTAAACCTCACTTATATTTACAATCAAACAATTGACAGTTAGCCGAGTTAGTTATATGGAATTTGGACTTGTGGTTGTTTATCTACAATGTTTACTTGATAATGTTGTGTCACATTTTAAACTGTACAATATTTTATTACTCAACAATGATTCACAGTAAGACCTTTATTTTAAAATCCTTTAAGTTCATTCATGAAATTTTTAATTAAAATTTAAATGAATTTTTTTTTATCTACAATCATGTAATTTGTTTTATGATAAATAATAAGACATGTATATAGAAAAATTATATACAATGCAAAATATATTTTTTTCTTTTTAGGTGTTTGATGTTTTACGTAGAAAAGTGATAGTATCTCATCAAATTGAAATTAAACAAAAATATCCACAAGAAGGATGGGTGGAACAAGATCCAAAAGAAATATTACAAGCAGTTATAGAATGCATAAAAAAGACCATAGAAAAGTTAAAAGACATTGGCATGAGTGCATCAGATATTAAAGCAATTGGGATCACTAATCAACGAGAAACTACTTTAATGTGGGATAAAAATACAGGAGAACCATTGCACAATGCAATAGGTAAAGTATGTGACTTATTATTCAGATATTCTTGTATTCATAATATAATATAGTATTATAGTAACATTAGATTTATGGAGTTCATAATAAGATACTTGTTATATACATATGTATATAATATATATACAAAAGTAGTACAAAAGATTCAAATCAATAATATTTTTATAGTATGGTTAGATATGAGAACTACCACAACTTTAGAAGATATATTAGATAGTGTACCTAATAAAACAAGGAACAAAAATTATTTGAAACCTCTTTGTGGTCTTCCAATGTCACCATATTTCAGTGCTCTCAAAATACGTTGGCTTATTGATAATATACCACGTGTTAAACATGCAGTAGATGAAGAAAAATGTGCTTTCGGGACAATTGATACATGGCTTATATGGGTATGTTCATTTATTTATTTTTATTTATATGTTTATCACACAATATTATAATTATAATTATAGTTCATTCATTTATCACACAATATTATAATTATAATTATAGTTCATTCATTAATGAAATAAATCATATTTGCATTATATAGAATCTTACCAAAGGGCAATTGCATGTAACTGATGTTTCAAATGCATCTCGTACAATGTTGATGAATATTGAATCATTAAAATGGGATCCTCTGTTATGTCGATTTTTTGGAATTCCGCAACATATCCTACCTGAAATACGGTCTAGTGCTGAAGTATATGGAACGATTTCCAATCCAGAAGTTCTTGCTGGTGTACCTATAGCAGGCGTAAAATTTTAACATATCCAAATATTAATTTTGTTTTAAATTTAATCAATTAAATTAACATCTTATTTTTACATGTAAGTGTGTAGGTGATCAACAAGGAGCACTTCTTGGTCAATTATGTTTAAAGCCTGGACAAGCAAAAGCTACTTACGGAACTGGTTGCTTCTTACTTTATAATACTGGAAATGTTGTATGTATTTACTTCTATCTATCAATGTGTTTGTAACGTACATTTCATTGAAAACTAATTCATTTATTCATTTATTCATTTATTTCTATTAATTGTTTTATCATTTTAGAAAGTAGATTCAACTCAAGGCCTTATTACAACTATTGCATATAAAATAGGTAAAGAACCTGCAATTTATGCATTAGAAGGCTCAGTAGCTGTAGCTGGAGCTGCTTTATCATGGTTACGTGATAATATACAGTTATTCAATAATATTACACAATCTCAAGACATGGCAGAACGTGTGAGAAATTCTGGAGACGTATATTTTGTACCTGCATTTTCTGGTTTATACGCGCCTTATTGGCAACAAGATGCAAGAGGGTAAATATAAATTATAATAGAAGATTATTAATTTTATATTCTGATACTAAAAATTACAAATTACGTACATTTCTTAGAGTAATTTGTGGTATCACTGAAGATACGCAACAGTATCACATTGTCCGAGCAGCATTAGAAGCTGTCTGTTTTCAAACGAGAGATATCTTAGAAGCTATGATAAAAGATTCCGGAACAAAATTAACAACTTTACAAGTTGACGGTGGAATGACTGTAAATAATTTACTCATGCAATTACAAGCTGATTTAACGGGAATAAGTGTTGGTATGTAAAAATTTATATTGCTTTTTTGCTACAATGCATATATATTTTATTTATATTCTAATAACAACAATTTAATAACTTGCAGTAAGACCCAATATGGTAGAAACAACAGCTTTAGGAGCAGCTATATTAGCCGGTATCGGAGCAAGTATTATCGATATCAGCGATGTAGATGCTTCGCAAGTTACGAAGTTTTCACCCGAAATTGGAGAAGATGGTACTTCTTTTGAATGAAATAATTGCAAAAGAAAATAAATTAATAATAATTTCATATATCTACATTTCAGAAAAAGATTTAAGGTATTCTAAATGGAAAATGGCTGTTGAAAGATCTATGAAATGGGATTCTTCTACCGCTTTAATAAACAATTAAAATAAAAAAGTACATCTGTAAATAATAAAAATAGTAATAAAAAAATAACATTTAGATCAAGGAGTATTTAAAAAGTAAATATTATCTTATTTAAATTAGACTACAAGTAAGTATATAGATTCGATTAAATATTGTATATTATTTTATTTAAATATGAACACAATTTGAGAAGTGATAAAAATAAGAGATCTAATATTATATGTATCATATGTGTAATAGTTAAAATAGTTATACATAAGTTGTGTATCCATTTATAAAGTATCATGTATATGTATATATTAATTGGATATTTCTTATTAATTTCATATTAAAAAAAAATTTTTTGTGAATAATTTTTATACGTTAATTTATTTTTTACTAACTGTGTCTCTCAAAATTAAAATGCATATTTGTACAACTTATATAGCATAATTTTATCATTAGTAGTAAACATAAATAAATCATATATATTGAACAATTTCCAAACAATATAGAACATATAGAACAAATAGAATATGTATTAAACAATTTCAAAACAACATATAGAACATATGTATTAAACAAAAAAATAATTTCAAAAAACATATTGTTGAAATTTGAAATTATAATTTTCTTTTTTAATAATCTTACATGGTAATAACATCTTATAAAAATTTATTTTTTTGATATTTTTCCAGGAGTTCCGTATTGGAGGTTTTTTGGAGTTACGTATTGCCGTAATCCAATCCCACGAGTTTTAAATATTCTTTTTCTCGTGGTCGAATTATTGTTATCCTATTTACATGAAATAATATCATATTTACAGAAAATAATTTTTTCAATCCTATATAAAATATATAAAACTGCAAGAAACGTTTTTTTTTTTTAAATATTACCTTATTTTCCTTCTTCTGTTTTTCTTCTATCTGTGTATTCGAGTGTGTTATATTCTTATCACGAAAAAGATAAGAATGACTTTCTGTAGAATCAGAAACCTATAAAAATAATATTATTTTTGTATTATATTATTGTATTATATTATCAAAAAGAATAATTTTGAATAACTCCATTTTTGTTGGAAACTTTAAATTGAATTATCTTTTTTTTATTTTACTTTATTGGTGATAATATCTATAATTACATAAATTCAAAATATTAAATCGATTTGTACATATAAAATTATCTTAACTTACATTTGACAATTCATCGTTAAATTTTATGTTAGTAAAGCTATACACATCTTGTTCCAGATTCGATATTTCGTTCTTATCTTTGGATATAATTTTTGATTTATCTACATTTTTTTGGTCTTGAAATTGTTCTTCTTTCATTTCACAAACCTGACTTCTTTGTGATTGACTTTCTAATTCTTTAACTGCTTCTGTTATATTAAATTCGAGTGGTTGCATTCTTTTTTGCAAGTTCTTCTGTATTTTGTTACGACTTGCCTTTGTATGCTGATCAAGATAATTTGTTTGTTTCTTTTGGTTATCTTCATTTATTTTATTTAAAGCCTCATTTAATCTTAGTTTAATATCATATTCTTGTTTTAAAGATGCTTTGTGTTTCTCTTCCAATAATTTATAAGCGCGTTCTAGTTCCTATGTTCAAGAGATGAATTTGAGTAAGCATATTTAAATTTATAATTCATTGTTACGTCTTTAAATATATATATATATATATATATATATACCTGTATTTTTGAATGTTTCTCTAAGTATACTCGTTCTTTTTCTTCTTCTAAAAATTCAATTTTCTTATTCAATTCTACTATTTTATATTCGTTGTCGCGTTTCATTATTTGTAAAGATTGTTCAAGATTTAAATTTTGAATTTGTGCTTCCTTCAATTTATTTTCTACGTTTGTAAAATCATTTCGTATATTTTTATACTTGTTATCAATAATATCAAGATCTTGAGCTAAACTAGTTTCTATTTGTTGTCTTGCATTTAAATTCTCTTGTAATTTCTCGATCTATTGTGAAGAATAAAATTAATTTATTATGTATGAAAGAAAACGTTTGAATGAAATTACAAGATTACTTTACTTTTTGTTCTTTTGATTGTAATTGCTTTGATAGTTCTTCTTCCTTGATGATCAATCTTTCATATTTTGAACTTAATTCAGTATTTTGACTCAACAAATCTTCGATTTTATTTCTGTTACAAAACCAATAAATTAAGAAACTTTAAAATATTTAATTAATCAAAAATTATAAAAAATGCTCACTTGCATGTAATGATCTTCTCTTGTAATTTTGCAATTTCATCATCTTTCTCAACAAATGTAGTAGTTAAGTCTTGTTTCTCTTCCGTAATCTTTTGTAATTGCACTTGGAGTTCTTGATTCATCGACGTGAGATTTTCTTGTTTCTGGAATCATAACTGCTTACAATATTTCACACGTTTATTACATCTATGATAACAACGATGATAACATAAGTAAAATATTTTCCTTATTTTGGAAGATTATTCACGTCTTTCTACTCAAAGTAGGAAAATTAAAATAAAAGAAGAAAAATGTAAAGCAAAAAGTTACTTCTGACCTTTATTAATTCTAATTTTTCTTCTGCATGAACATTATGTAAGTGATTTTTTTCTAAAATTGACTTGTTTTTCATATCTTGGAATTGCTTTTTCAATTCGGTCTCGGCAATCATCATTTCGTGTACTCTAATAATAAATTAAATGAAAATTATTACATATACAATAAATTATTCGCAACTTTTTTGTAAGTACCTTTTCTCTTGATTCTTTACTTTGTTTTCCATTGTACTAACAATATTTCTTTGTTCATCATCTACATAAAAACACATTAAAAATTAAGACAAATGTACTTAAACAAAGTTTCTAATGAAATCTATTATATCTATATACATTTCAATTTCATAGTGCTTAATTCCTGCTGCAATTTCTTCACTGCTGATTGTTGTGTAAGGATGACGTCGTTATATAACTTTGATAAATTATCTTTGTGCTGTTGAAACCCCTTTAAACTCTCTGATATTTCATAATAATATTTAGTAATCGATTCCCAATCGCTGTTCAATCTATAAAACACTGCTATTAGTCTTTTTTCCTTATTGCTACAAGGATAATAGATAACTGCAATAAATAATAAAACAAAAAATTAAAATCAATGCAATAAATAATAAATAACAGTAATATGTTACTGTTGTAAAATTTCTTCCTTAGTTCTGAGCTCGGCCTCGTGTGAAGCAGAGACTAAAGATATAGTTTCTTCAGCAACTTGTAGTTTCTTTTGTAATTTTTGAATCTTCCGCTCTTCAATTGCATACATTTGCTTCATCTCTTCCACGATTGAATTTTCTTGAACCTGTTCATTTGATATTTATTCAACAATCAAATTTTATCCAATATCTTTTAATAATGATTTTTTATTAGGAAAAAACAGTAGAACAATTTTGAAAATAATATTGTTCTGTAATAAATTGCTATTGCCTTTTAATATTTTAATATTTATTGTGATTTTCTTTCTAAAATATCATATAGTTCTATTGTCCTTAAATATTAGTAAAAAGAAAGAACAATAAAATAAAAATTATATTCACTCCTGGCGATTGAAGAACTGGTGTTTGGACACCCATGTGCTTGGACCACTGTGCTATTAAAGTATTGATAAATTTTCCGCTCGAACAAGCTTTTTGAACTTTCTCGGGAGTTTTCTTATGAGGTGATAAACTTTTTCGTTTGGTAGCTTCTAATTGCGATTTCGCATCTTTTTTAAAAGATTCTATAATAAAATAGTTTAATATTTCAGAATTTATTTTATTCTTGTATGATACAATCATTATAATTAGACCGCAGATTTTTGTGTAAATAAATAGAGATTCAATTAAGTTACTAACAATATGCACCCTGCACTTTTCTGTACTTTTAAATTTCGCATAAATGCCTAAAAATCCGTAGTGTAACTATAAATTTATTATAAAATGCGTCATACCGGTAGCTTGAGGAGTTTTTGAATGCTTGTCCGGGGTATTCTGTGGAGTATAATTAATTCTACGTTTAACTTCCTGTGACGACATTATGTCTCTTCTTCCAAATCCTATAAAATAATTACAGCTTTACTATTGTTCATGAGTCGGAACGTAAGTAGACGAAGCTTACCAGCTCGAGGCGTTTCTTGCAATTTTTCCGGAATTGTTAAATTGCAAGATGTGAATTCAGACCTATAAATATCATCTTCCTGCGGCATTTTCGCGTTTACTTCGGTTGCAGCTAAATTGGACAATGTGCTAAACTTGATACGTTACAACAATGAGAATTCCTGTGTATAACAAATTTGTACAATAAGTACGTATATAATTATGCTTGTAAAATAAATAATTTAGTGAAATTATTTTTTGTTTTTATAAACCAACTGTGCAAAATGTGATCTACCTTTTTTTTAAGAATAGATGTGAAATAATTTATATAATAACTAAATAATTTATATTATATAATAACGGTAGTAAAAGCAGGCTGATCAATTTCGCACTTAACTACGTAAATAAATAAAATCACTTATATCGATGTCGTAAGCATTAAACTTTAATAGATACTACGTGAAATATTGACATCTACTATGACGAAATTTGATCGTATTCTTTGAAAAAAGAAAACACTTTTAAGGGTATATTTTTCAAAAAATAATATTTGTCATAATTATAAATGGTTAAGTAAAAATTATTCATTTAATTAAATTTGTAAAATTTTGTAAATATTGTGAGGATAATTTAAATGTCAAAATTTGTACTGTAATTGTGACAAATGATTTAAATGCGACAGATATATATTGTTTTTTTTATTCTTGATTCATAGCACTCACGTTTATTAATATTATTATTTCAACAAGCCAATACCTGTAAGTGGAATCTCTCGTCTTTCTACTTTTGTACTTTGACTTTATATCCTGTTCGATCATTTACCGAATGATTATTTACCGTGTATCGATAAAAAGTTTGCGATACAGAAGGAAACGATCATTCGATAATGCGCCAAATCAATTGCGCATCTTTACAATCCATACAAAACAAGCCGCGCCAGCTATAATAATTACTCACGAGTCAGAATCAAATCTTATCGCTTAAAAATCTGTCAGTCTATCCATAAAAGGTAACGAAACTATTAATGTATCATTCTGTCTTCTTATTAATTAAGAAAATTCGCGATATAAAAAAACTGTTCTGATTCTAACCTGTAAGTCAATTTGTCGATTTAAGTGCCTACACGATTCAAAACATTCACGCGTATTATCAGAATCGATAGATAAAGTTATTACAATTTTTAGAATAATACCAATAACATTATGGAACAACTTCTCATAAATGTAGCAGACGAGCGTTGGGAGGGTTGAAGAAATATTGGAGGGAAAAAAAATGTACGATACAGGAGAGCGCATTTGGCTGAAACATATCGGCGCGGTAAATCAATGGCGCAGCTCCATAGCGCATGTGAGATCTCGCGGAGTCTGTGGTACCAGTTGGAAGGGGGTCTCTGATATCCCTCCTTTCTCACGGGGATGCTCGCGAGAGGAAGTTAAGCCAGTATACGTGCCGCGGCAGCCTAATATACAAGCGGAGCGGTGACAAGGTGAGCCACGGGCACGTTTTCATCAAGCAGAAAAATCAAAACGTCAAGATGAAGGAACACGAGGCAACGGGTGCCTGTCAGAAGAAACCAACGAAACTGCGTAACCTCATCTACAAGACTGAGGCTTTTGACTCTCTGCATGCTGGAAATGCGGAGGTACACATAATGAAAGAAACTTCACGAACACAAATCCTTTTCTCTCTCTTTTTCTCTGTCTCTTCTTACTTACGTCTGTCTATTCATTTTCTTTCTTTTATTCTCACTTCTCATTGGTTGATTTGTCCCGTGCATCTCTGTTGCGAATCTTTCGTTTAGAAATTGTTGGCCGTCCGACCAAATTGAAAATTGCACGAATAACGAATAATAACGTGGAAGTTCGAATGAGACCAAATGAGTGTGGGCGAATTTGCGAATCAATACCATCGAAAAACGAGAGTTCGTTCCGGTGGTCCACTAGTTGCGCTGGTACATGTGCACTAATGTTCATAAGTATTAGGACATTTGTAGGGAAACAAGAAAAAAAACAGACCATCTGCTTGCGAAAAACTCATGTTCATTCACGCCGTAATGAAAATTATTACCGCCTATATAACAGAATTCTTTCAACGTGTTTAGCCCAAAGAATTATATAAATGTCGGCATATTTTTAATTCATTATTTACATTCTTAGAAATAGTTTCCACACTCTTTTTGTGTATTTTGAATAATAATATTATAAGAATGTTAGATACAAATTCCAACTAATTAATTATTTCCTTAACAGTTTGAATTAATTATCACGTACCGTACAAAATTAGTAAGTGTTCTAAATGAAACTGTAATATTATACATTACTCGAAAGAAATTGGAAAATATGGAATGATCGAAGAATGTAAATGGTCGAAATGAATGAAACGAATATTTTTTACGAATGTTTGATTAAAGATTTAATCTGATTTAAATATAAATATGATTAAATCAGATTAAATCTTCAATTATTCAAGCTTTTTGACTACTGCAGTAATAATCTAATTTAAATATTAATTTGTTCGTTATATTATATTACAAATTTTTATATATGTTTATAAAATATTTAAAGAAGCAAAAAAATTACATAGTATGCAAAAATACATAAAATATTCAAAATTCAAGAATTTCCATCTAAATCCTGCTGTTTTGGTTGGACCCGATTGCATGAATATTCGCAATCTAATCACCATGAAGCCAATGAATATCAATTAGCATAATTATATAAATAACAAAAAAAAAAAGAGCTTTCTGGGAAACATTTAACATCTCTTTAATTGTGTTACTTTCTTCAGAGAACATTGTGCTCTGGTCAAGTGTGTCTCGGTAGCGTTATGCAGCTACCGATTCATGGAACAGAATCCCGTTCAAGAGAAGAGATCCTTGTACATGCGAAAGATTTCCTCGAACAATACTTCTCTTCCATCAGAAGGTACATTGCTATTTTAAAACATACTTTTATTATACGGGATGAGTCAATAAGAACTCTAAAATAACTCGAAACTTATTGTATCAATAAACATTTCAAATGATGGATTATGTTGCATTTCGTGTAACTCATTAGATGGATACAGTTCGATTTCTTTACATCTTACACGTCCTGAGATATCAGGGACATTTTCCATTTTTCCAAGATCAGCGTACTTCATTTTCTTCTTTTTTCTTTCAGTGTTATCTTGTACTCGATAAAACACTTAATTCAATGACCTTGAAATATTACAAAATAATCTGCATATTAACGATGTGAATTTCGAATTGCTGCTAATGTGCCTGGCGTAATTTCCTCAATACGCTGTCGCATATCGCTGTTTCTTTCTGAACGACCATGAGTCAGTCAACGTAATTCATTTTATATAAAACATTTTTCTGATACAACCAATAGATGTTAGTTCTTATTGATTCACGCTAATTTATTTTGATGACATTTGTATGGCAATTTTTTACGAGATTCAAGTTATTCAAGCAACATTCCTTTTGTTCAATGAAATAGATTAAATAGCGAGGCACATCGTATTCGTTGGGAAAGTGTGCAAAAAGAAGTCATGGCTCTTGGTACTTATCAACTAACTGAAACTGAATTAGTTTTCGGGGCGAAGTTAGCGTGGCGCAATGCCACAAGATGCATCGGTCGTATTCAATGGTCTAAGTTGCAAGTACGTAACAATACGTGTCAATATTTCCTGATCAATCAAAACTTATATCCGAACAATCAAGGAAATATAGCCAGAAAGAGTCAGGCAATCATTTAGGAACTTTTTATTTTTTTATTCATAAAAATATTAATTTCCATGTATGCCTGTATTTACCCAATCTATCTCAGTTTACGGATGGAATTAAAAATATAGTAAGATAACATTCGATGAATTTACATATATATGCATTCAATTATTATAGGTATTTGATTGCCGTTACGTTACGACAACTAGCGGCATGTTTGAAGCTTTATGCAATCATATTAAATATAGCACGAACAAAGGAAACATCCGGTAATAAAACGTAACATAAAACATTCTCCGTGGAATATTTGTTATTCATTTTGCTGGATTTTTTAGATCTGCAATAACAATATTTCCGCAACGTACGGATGGGAAACATGATTATAGGGTATGGAACCATCAGCTAATTAATTACGCGGGATATAAAAATCCAGACGGTACTATAATTGGTGATCCTGCAAATGTCGAATTCACTGAGGTAAAATGATCACTTCCTCTTTCACAGTTTTCTTTTTTTTTCCTATTTTTAGTTTAAAAATTATCACTCACTCTATTTGTTTTTCACAGTTATGCATGAAATTAGGTTGGAGAAGTGCACGTACTCGTTTCGACATACTGCCACTAGTATTGTCAGCAAACGGTCATGATCCTGATTACTTCGACATTCCAAGTGAACTTGTTCTCGAAGTACCTCTTAGTCATCCAACGTAGGCATCTCTATTCCTTTTGCATCTTTTTAGATTTTTAATTAATTTTTATTTTCCTTTTTTTTTCTTTTTTTTTTAATCTCAGATATGATTGGTTCGAAAAGTTGGAATTGAAATGGTTCGCGGTTCCTGTCGTATCTGGAATGGTATTCGATTGTGGAGGATTAGAATTCACAGCCGCACCATTCAATGGATGGTATATGAGCACAGAAATTGGATCGAGAGACTTATGCGATGTTCAACGATACAATTTACTAGAAGTATACATTTTTGGGGAATTACAACGTTAATTTTTGCCAACAAAATATGCTAAAATAAATTTTATTTGTAGACAATTGCAACTCATATGGGATTGGATACAAGAACATCCACTTCGTTATGGAAAGATAAAGCTATGATTGAAGCTAATGTTGCTGTTTTGCATAGTTTTCAAGTACATAAAGTAGCTTTTGTTTCAAATGTCTTTTACAAATATTAATAACAAATTTTTTTTTTTTTTCTTTTAGATGAAAAATGTAACGATCGTAGATCACCACACTGCATCGGAATCTTTCATGAAACATTACGAAAACGAAATGCGATTAAGAAATGGATGTCCAGCCGATTGGCTTTGGATCGTACCACCGATATCAGGATCAGCTACACCAGTGTTTCATCAAGAGATGGCTCTTTATTATTTAAAACCATCGTATGATGCTCAGGTTTTTGTCAAGCAAGTTATTTCTTTGTTATGCGTTTCTTACATATTTAATATATTTTCTTACGAAAAAATTATAGGATCCTGCTTGGAAGACACACATTTGGAAAAAAGGACGGGATAAAAAGTCAACGTCTAAAAAACCAAGACGAAAATTCCATTTCAAGCAAATTGCAAGGTAAAATATTACTTTATAAACATATCGCAATTGGAAGGATTATATTTATAAATAAACCATTTTGTACCTCAGGGCAGTAAAATTTACGTCCAAATTGTTTGGGAGAGCCTTATCTCGAAGAATAAAAGCTACAGTATTATTTGCCACGGAAACTGGCACATCGCAAATGTATGCTGAGAAACTTAGTGAATTATTAGGACACGCTTTTCATTCCCAGGTATTTACTATTTAATTGAATATTATAAAATTTTTTATTTCTCTTAATTTTAAAGAAATGACATCTGAAAAATACTTGAAGCTATCAATTTTAGGTACTTTGTATGTCAGATTATGACATCAGCAATATAGAACACGAAGCTTTATTACTAGTTATAACATCCACCTTTGGGAACGGTGATCCACCAGAAAATGGCGAAGTAAATTTATGCTTTTCGTATTGAACGATTTGAAACTTGAATTAGGATCTCATATATCCTCTATTTTTTAGGCTTTCGCACAAAATTTATACGCTATGAAAATGAATGAAACATACATTAATAGTGGCAATAAAATAAGGTATTTACACATTCCATGTAACAAAATAGGAAAATTTGTGAATCGAATAACAATACTTGTATCATAATTGTAGCTTAGCAACTTCGAAATCATTCATTAAAGCAAATAGTCAGACGGAAGTGAGCAATTCGAAGAAACTCGATAGATTAGATTCTCTTCGTGGTTCCACCACAGATTCTCAAACGGAAGACACTTTTGGTCCTTTGAGCAACGTCAGGTATATTCATATAAAATATTAACTTGTAAGTTTGAAATGAAACCTATATTCCTTCTCTTAGATTTGCTGTTTTCGCGTTGGGATCATCGGCATACCCAAACTTCTGCGCTTTCGGTCGCTATGTGGATAACTTGTTAGGCGAATTAGGCGGAGAACGATTGTTGAAATTGGCACAAGGAGATGAAATGTGTGGACAGGAACAAGCTTTCAGAAAATGGGCAGCCGATACTTTTACTGTTTGTATTTTATTACAGTTTTTCATATTATTCATATAAAGCATTTTTAAAAAGATGTTTATAACTTATCCCAGGTTGCGTGTGAAACTTTTTGCCTAGATGACGATGATACTTTGCTTGAAGTTGCTTTGTCTTTAGGATCAGAAGCTTTATCAGCAGCAACTGTTCGTTTTGTAGAAGCTGAACCCCAACCAATTGGGAAAGGTACATTTATACATGACTGTTAATAAAATGTTTATTTTTATAATTACAATATTTCAGCTTTGAGCAAATGTCATAACAGAAACGTCACTACGTGTAATATGTTTCGAAAAACAAATTTAAGCGGTGATTCATCGAGGTAATTATATACTGTAAATAGTAATTTTTTAAAATTATATAATAAATTTTGATTTTATGCTGTTATCTTTTGTAGTGGAACTACATTACTCTTGGAACTTGATGATATGGCAAGTATGGAAATATCATATAAACCTGGTGATCATTTAGGAGTTTTTGCATGTAATAGATCAGAATTGGTCGAGGCAATTTTGAAACGAGTACAAACTCCCTTTGATCCAAATACACCGATCGAATTACAAGTGCAGAAGCAATCTCATACTCCCAATGGTGTGTATTGACTTTATTGAAATTATTAAATCATTATTATTATTCAATGATAACAATTTCTTTTCTTTTTTTATTACATAGGAATCGTAAAAACATGGATGGCACACGATAGATATCTACCTAACTCCTTGAGAATACTACTAAAAAGATTTCTAGATATCACAACACCACCAACACCGAATCTTCTTAGATACTTCGCATCAATTGCTACAAATCCAAAAGAACAAGCTCAACTCAATCTTTTGGCTTCTGTAATATTACGTTATCTTTAGTTTTAAAAAATTTTTAATTTTAAAAAATCTCATTATCAGAAACATAAAAAACAAAAAAAAATTTGTGCAGGATCCAGCAGCGTACGAGGATTGGAGACATTGGAAATTCCCTAATTTAGTGGAAGTATTAGATGAATTCCCATCCGTGATACCTTTCGCGCCGTTATTATTACTCCATTTAACTCCTTTGCAACCGAGATTTTACAGTATTTCTTCTTCTCCGAATGTACATCAAGGGCAAATACATCTTACCGTTGCTACTGTACAATATAAAACACAAGGTATTTAATTTCACATACGACCTCTGAATTATCCAAAGACAGCCTATTTTATATATATAAAAATATAATTATTTGTAAAATCTAAGGCGGTTCTGGGCCAATTCATTATGGAGTTTGTTCTAATTATCTACGTGAAATATCAGATGGAGAACCTTTGTATGTGTTTGTACGTAGGTAAGTTCGTATTGAAAATTAATTTTTATTTATCTAACACATATAAAATTTGATATATTTTCTTTTACATTTAGTGCGCCTAACTTTTATATGCCAATCGAACAAAAAGCACCAATGATATTGGTTGGTCCAGGAACTGGAATTGCTCCCTTCCGAGGTTTTTGGTATCATCGTCTCGCAGAGATGAAGCAACGACCAGGTATTATAATTTGTTACATGTTATAATCTTTCTGAAATAAATATGAAATATAAAATTTGTAGATCTTAAGTATGGAAAAGTCTGGTTATTCTTTGGTTGCCGTCAAAGAAACTTAGATCTGTATAGGCAAGAAAAAGAAGAAATGGTAAAAGCTGGTGTCTTAGACAAGGTTTTCTTAGCTCTTTCGCGAGAACCTGGATTGAAAAAGGTTAAAATTTAAAATATTTTTTAATTAATTTATAACGTCATTTCGTCGTACTTGAAATATTATAATTATATTAATTTTAATAGACATACGTACAAGATCTAATTCAAGCAGAAGCCTCACAAATTTACGATATGTTAGTGTACGAAGGAGGTCATTTTTATGTTTGTGGTGATTGTACAATGGCAGAAGACGTTTATCAAACTTTGAAACATATTATACAAACTCATGGTGAAATGACTGATAAGCAAGTCGAGGCATACATGTTATCATTACGCGTAAGCTATGTTACAATTTTATTGTTACTAAATATCAATTTCAATTACTTACACAACTGGTTTTTAGGATGAAAATCGTTACCACGAAGATATATTTGGTATTACTTTAAGAACAGCAGAAGTACATAATCGATCGAGGGAAACAGCAAGAAATAGAATGGCTGCAGAGCCTTAAGTATCGTTGTAATGTAACGTGTAATCTTGAAAAATTTTAAACAATTCTGTAGATAGTTCTCAATGATGCATATTATGCATTCCTTGTGCAGAAATTAAATTGAAAAATATTGAAATATCTTATTCTTTAATATATCGTGCTATATAATTTACTATAATTTCATGATCAATTATAATATACAAGTTTCTAGTATTATATACGCGTATATTTTTGATGATAAATTACTTAGATTTAAATTAAATACTAGAAAGATTAGTGTATCTTTGTTTCTAATATAAAAACAAAACTACATATCGAGATAACATCTTGCTGATTATAATGTTAATCAATGTTTCAAGCGATTCACATTAGCAATAACGTTATTACAAAGATATAAAACATGTAACATAAAAAATTGAATATATTTACTGCATTCATTAAATGAATTTTAATGTTTTACCTACAAATGTGAATATATATAAAGTCAATAGTTGAAGTATAAATATAATTATTCGTATTCAAAGAAATTTTTATTTACAGTACATATTTGACGTTTATAAAAAATTTGGTTTCAGCTGTATATTGTTTTACCAAATAATTTAAGTGAACTATATTTAGTTATTTTCATTTAATGAAACATAATCTTCTATTTAATTATAAAGAACGAAAAATACATATGACTGACTAATTTCATCTTTTTTTTATTTATACAGCAGCATCAAGGCCAGGTTTTTGTTTCTCACTAATGTTGGCTAACAATTTCTTTATTTCTGCAATTGCTTTACCAGGATTCAAACCCTATAAAAAAATAAAGAAGGTAAGGTGTAAAGTTTTCAATTGAAATCAGAAATAAAATGGTTTTCAGATTATTTAAACTTACCTTTGGACAAGTACGAGTACAATTCATAATAGTATGACATCGATATACTGAATATGGGTCTCGCAATTTTTCGAGACGTTCCTTTGCTTTATTATCACGTGAATCAATAATCCATCTGTAAGCCTGCATAAGTACAGCAGGTCCTAAGTATTTATCACCATTCCACCAATATGATGGGCAAGAGGTACTGCAGCAAGCACATAAGATACATTCATAGAGACCATCCTATATCATAAAAAATTATTTATTATTGCATTATAATGATATCGAAACGAATGAAAAATACGAAAATTCCAAGTAGAATAAAAAATATGAAAAATACCAATTTTTTACGGTCTTCAACACTTTGTAAATATTGCTTTGAACCAGCTTCCTGCTCATCACCACGTTGCAACCATGGTTGTATACTTTTATACTGGTTATAAAAATTATTCAAATCTGGTACTAAATCTTTTACTATATACATATGTGGTAATGGATAAATCTTACTAGTTGTACTTGTATTAGTATCAATTTTGCTGAAATATGAATCATGATTTATATTTCAAACTTAATTTTGAAAGCATGAAAATTATTTGATAAAACTGATTAAAACATACCTTATACATGCTAATGTATTTGTACCACCAATGTTCATAGCACAAGAACCACAAATGCCTTCACGGCAAGATCGACGGAAAGTTAAGGTTGGATCAATTTCATTTTTAATTTTAATTAATGCATCCAACACCATAGGACCACAACTATAATAGATTTAAATGAATTATAAATAATACAAAACCATTAAAGAAATCTTACGTGCTCAAATCCAATTTATATTCTTGCATATATGGTTTTTCATCAGGCTTGTCTGGATTCCAACGATACACAGCAAATGTTTTTAATCTTGCTTCAGCATTTTGATTTGCAGAAATATGAAATCTTCTAACCTAAATTAATGAAAGTTAATGCAAAATAAGTTCAAGTAAAAATAAATAGTCAGTACAAAAGTCTCGTCTTTTACAATTAAATTAGATAAACATATTTAATCTTAAACTATTGATTATGTGCCAATTATAATTTCGTAATTTTTTTATAAATATAATGATAGATTTAACTGTACAATTATCTAATTTAATACATTTAATACATTTTAATTGAATATTTACTAATAAAAACTATATTGAAAGTCACTTATCAATAAAGTAAAAAAATTTTATTTATATAGACAATTTGTGACAATTATACAAAGTAGCGATTCAAACAAAAGCATCGCGTAATATTATTTAATTGTTATTACTTCAATTCTTAGAATATTGTTCAATAATTAAATATAATTAAATAATTAAATATAATTAAATATAAACGTCAACATATACAAACAAAAAAAGTGGAATTGACACAAGTGATACAATAGATAGAAGTTAGGGTTCATAGGTTTGCACAATATTTTGCAATATAACAAGAAATATTTGGGAAACATAATTGTTTGATTATTAAAATAAGAATTTTCATAAATACGTACTTGCCGAAATGCATTTCTGCAAGCCTGCGGTGTAATGCCAGCCATTTTTTAAAATGAATCAAAATGAAAACGTTTGCGGTACTTGTGTTATGTAAGCTGTGCACGTGAGGATGTACCAACCTTACTGCAATTTTTGCTTGCGTAGAAACGTGTTTATTATTAATTTACTCTCAAATTTCACGTTAATGTCAATGTCATACAAGAATCATTCAGTAGAATTGTTTGAAATTTTTTAAAATTTATTTATTGATAATATCTATACTATGCAACTAATACATTTTGTATAGTATAATTGAAATACCGACTAAAATATGAATTCATTTTATTGTATAAAATAAATTTGTTATTATATCTATGTCACATGCTAATCTTTGATATTTAATTATAAATAGATATATTATTTTTAAATAAACGTCTATACTATTAGTTATATTACTTGTCATTTTTTTGTGTACGTCTATTTCGTAAATAACTAGAAAAAGTTTAATCGTGTTTTTAAATATGGATAATATAAAATACATCTTAATTAAATGAAATCTTCAAAATTGGACAAAAAACAACGAGATCTATTAGTAAAAATTGATAATATTCAAATTTCACGTGATACATGAAAATATAGTATATATATGTGTGTGTGTGTGTGTGTGTGTGTTTACATATAAATTTTAATAATATAGATCGGAATTTTTAATTTATATCATCATGTATAGGTAATATATTTTTGGATGCATTTGTTTTAAATTTTCTATCCATATAAACCATATATTGCTTATATGCATAGGTTATGTTTTCTATAGCTAATGTAACCGTACACTCATGTTTTATCATTTTCGAAAATAAAATTAATTTCCTAAAATTATCTCAAACATTAAATTATAATATAATTGTTAAATATGATAATCATAAAAAAAGGAAGTTGACAATATGAAACGAAATTGTCATAATACATAACCTAACTAATCTATTGAGCAATGTATTAATATACTCCAATACTAATCAATACTAACTCAGAAGAATTTGTAAATAATATATTTGAAATTTAAAGAAAGATCATAATCATTCCATTAGTATATATATATTTTTTTTTCATAATTGTAGAATTTTTTTTCCTGATAATAATGTACAATTGTTGAAATATATAATTTTTTTGCATGATTAAGAAATAATAAAATAACATCTTTTGAATAATAAAGTAAGATCTTTTGAATAACATTTTTTCAACGATGTTTAAAATTTTTATAATTTTTAAAGAAAACGTATCAATATCATTTTCAGACGTATTTTATTGCTTGAAAATGCAATTTTTCAAAATAAGTATAATTTTAATAAACAACATATAGAAAGAATGTATATGATTGAAATCACAAGAACAAGAGAATACGAAGGTCGTAAATTAGTAGGGTGAGTTTCTTCAATTTTAAATTTGATCATTATGTCACCAAGAAATAAAAAATGTGAAAAAGTTTTTTACATATACAGGTTTTCAATGGAACAGATATATGACGTCGTGGCCGACGTACAAAATTATAAAAATTTCGTGCCATTTTGTAAGAAGTCTGAAATTATATTTAAAAGTAATGATACGCTCAAAGCAAATTTGGTAATAGGATTTCCACCTATAAATGAAAGTTATACATCGAAAGTAATAACGATGCGGCCACATTTGGTAAAAGCCGAATGTACAGATGGTAGATTATTTAATCATTTAAACACATTATGGCTCTTTAGTCCAGGACTAAAAAATAATCCACAAACTTGCGTTATTGATTTCTCTTTATCGTTTGAATTTAAATTCCTTATCCATTCGCATCTGTCGAATCTATTTTTTAACGAAATCGTACGGCAAATGGAAAATGCTTTTCTTGATGAGGCCAAACGCAGATACGGAAGACCATGTATAAAAACGGTGCGACTAGAAAGATAATGTATGACAATATTAAATTAATAAATGATTATTGACAAGTGTAAAATTTATAAATAAAAGAACTGTTTTTCAAACATTTCTTTCTTCTTTAATTTAAAAATTTTTTCAAATAAAAATTATACTATTAATTATGACTTTGCCATTCCTAATAAATATATTATTTAGAATAATTCATACAGTAATTATGTGAAAATTAGTACAAACTTTTTTTAAAAAACAATAATTTATATAATGAAATTAAAAGGCAAATATTTTAAAAATAAAGAAAGTAAAATATTATTAGGATAATTTAAATTCGTCGATGATGTTATTTGCATTCTTTAATGTTTAAGGCATTACTAAGTAGTGACTTCACAATGGCGTAGAGTTGAGTCATTACCACTTTATCGAAGTCAAGATATGTGTACGTATCTTTAAGTGTTCAATTGTCAATACAGTGTATCTTTATCATTATTAAGCAAACAAAATTATTGATTTTAAGTATTAGCGCTATACAATGTACATTCTCTCATAATCACGTAAATTTCAATATTGTTGAGGAAACGGGATAGTCGTTTTCATAAAAATGTGTACGATTGCAGCTTTGACTAGTCAAACAGTATTTATCCCACGGGAAATTATGTATTTTAGTAGAAATATGTCGCGGTTTTATCACGGTCACCAAAAATTGTATTGCGTGAATAATTTTCTGTCAAGAAAACACAGTTTATTTTCGTTTGTTGTTCATACGTGGACTATACCAAGGACATGTTATAGTGCGGAAAGCAAAATAAATTTTCCTGAATCCTTAACGAAGGAAAAAGCGAAAGAGATAGCTTTTAAGCTTAACTCAGAAGAACGAGATCTCTTTTTAAAAGTCCTTAAAGAATGTAAATCGGAAGAGGATAGGGCTGAATATCAACGTAATTATTTTTTATGAAGATTATCATTAGACTGCAGATATTTATGTAAATATATTTTTGTGAACATAATTAAAATGGTAGAATCTAACTAGAAAATTGTTTTGCTTACTAATATTACAAATAATACCCAATATTTCATGTTTTTTACGTGTTATGTACATTCTGTGCATCCTTATTTTTTCATTTCTCTTAAATAGATAAAAATCTGCAGTAATCTATAGATAATAATATTAAAAATAACAATAAAAATCTGTAGAAAATGAAATTATATTAAAATAAAATTATTCCTTTTTTATGCATAAAATTATGAATTTTAAGGCCAATTAGCTGCTTTTCGGTGGTGTAATAAACTTGGAAGACCAAGCAAAATATCATCATTAGGAGATGTAGATCCTACAGGCACTTATTGTCCTGTACCAGAAGATTGGCTTATGCGCAAGTATGGTAGGAATTTAAAAAATGTTATTTCATTTTTCTAATGTAATCTCAGTAATTAACAGCTATTTATGAAGCAAAATAACTTTTGTACTACTAAATTAAATTGCAATTTAAGCTAATAGAATTTTATATTACTAAAATTTAACTTTTATGACATATTACATTATTGATCTGAATTTCAAAGGTGAAAATATTTATTATTATTATATTGCAATTCAGTATAATTTTCATTATTCTTTAACAATATAAAAAATTTTCTTTCATCGCATTCTACATGGATATCAATCTGTAAGTTTACTTAATATATATTAAATTATTTTTTCACATGCAACTATGTGTTTTAATTCTTTCACTTACTTCTTCTACTCTGACTGAACTTTCTGGATGTTTTAAAAAGACAACTACAGAGCCACACTTAGGTAATATTTTACATTACATATACATACTTACTATTGTTTTTTAACACAATATACACAATAATACCATACGATAGCTGAAGTGCAATTAAAATTATTTAAGTTGTATTTTTATGTTATAATCTTTTCAAATTGTAAGAATTATATATTCATTCCAAATTTAAATAAAAACCTAATATATAATAATAAATATAATAAATTTTTTAACAAATATATGCTATTTTATTAAATAATAATTCACTATTTCATTAAATAATAAAACACAATTTCATCAAGTAATTTGGATAACATTTATGATTTAAGATGTTGAACACTTTGAAAAAAAGCATATTTTTTACAAGAACTTTATATTGAATTTCATCTGTTAACTCAACAATGAACATAATGAATGCAGCAAGATACCTGTTTAAATAAGTTGAACATTTGGGTAAATAACTTCAGAAATTTTCATATAAGAAAAGATTGTTAAAATATCTTTATAATTTAATTTCTATTACTTCCACCTAATTTTTGCATGGTCATAATTGCTCTTTTTATGTGGATTGTATTTTAGTAAACATTAGATACAATATTTGTATATATATAACATACAATTACGTATTACATTATTTAGCACTTTGATGTAAGTACTTCTTAGAGAAAAAATGTATTTTAAATAAAATTTTGTTTTTCAGAATCTTATGTTTTAATTAATTTGTTGTCCTATATAATTTTATTTTATTCATTAAGTAATTGATTTTAATAAATATCTTTTATGCAATATTATTATTCAATATTATGATTTCATGTTAATAATTTATAACTTCATTTATAAAGTTATTATTTTAATCTGTGTTAGTTATCTTGCATAGATGAAGAAATAAATGCATGAGCTTTGTCATTTTGTGTGTATGGTATAAGTAACACAAAAATTATATTTTTCACAATTACTTATTGATTAATTGTTATCATATTATGTTATAAAAAAAATATACGTTCACATTTTTCTCTTTCCTATTACAGTTGAAACTGTTCCAGAACCTACCACAAAAGAGTTAGTATTAGGTATGAATTTTAAATATTAATATTTGACAAAATTTGTAAATTTAAATTTAAATGTTTACTAAAATAATTTGTATAATAGAATATAATACTTTTTTGAACTTGAAAAATAATTAATATTATATATCATATTCTTACAGTTGCAATTGCAAATGCAATCCCATTTATTGGCTTTGGTTTTCTTGACAATTTCATCATGATTGTCGCTGTACGTATCACGAATTTATATCGCGTATGTTCGATTTTTTAATATTGTCATTTTAGGGAGATCAAATTGAAACAATATTAAATAAAAAATTTCCAATATCAACTATGGCAGCTGCCGCGTTAGGAAATACGATATCTGATATAATAGGAATCGGATCTGTACATTATGTAGAACGTTTCGCTCAAAGCGTTGGTTTTAGAGCACCAAAACTTACTCCCATACAATTAAATTTACGTAGGACAAAATCAGCTGCTAATATGGTATAGCATGTTTACTTTTATGTTATATTTGACTTTTTAAGTTAATAATTTATGAAGAATAACAAAGTAATTTTTAATAATTCAGGGAAGAGTTATCGGAGTTACAATTGGCTGCATTATCGGAATGACCCCTATCCCTATTTTTTCCTATTTTCATAACGGTGGTTAAAATTATATATATTAAATGCTTAAAAAATTTTATTATTATTATATTTACTTTTTATAATAAATTGATTTATAACGATAGAAAACAAAAATCTATTTATGATCTACTATTAAAATCAAATTTTGTAATTATTTGCAATGTTAATTTATGACAATCATAAAGTTTATGCAATATTATGTAATCTATGTAAGACAATGTATGTCTACTCTGTACTTAATGTATACATATGTATAAAATAATTGTAAATGTATTATCAAAACTGTATAAATAGTAGTAACAACACATAGACCTGTTCGTATATTTTAGTATTATCCTTGTATCCCAAAGGTTGTCATAGTTTTAAAAAAAACTAATGTCTTCGTAGATATTTCATTTTCTTTATTGAAAAAATGATCTTGAGAAGTTCTTTTGTGAGTTACAAGTTAGTAGAAAAAATATATAATTTTTCTCTGGTTTCAAAATTCTTTTAATAAAAAGAATATAGTTTGTTAAATTTTTAAGATCTTGATGATCTTGATATACGATGTTCAATGCTGATGATCGAATGTTAATTTTGTACTTTGTACGCAATTCGCGTAATATCGCCACTCGTGTAAAAGAATTTTCAGATCTATATTCAATATTTGTTTCCAGAATTTTATTAAAGGTTCATCTGATATAGTGATGTCGAAAAAGAATTTTGTTGTTATTGATATGTCTATATGTTCGGTTTTATCGTTTGCTGTATGCAACTTTTTCGATTCTGGATCTGAAAATTCTGATAGCTGGATCATCATAGAATTTAACCACCATTTCCAATTTATATTAGTAACATCGTTTGTCTCAATGTATTCACAATTTTGTTGAGATTGATTACAATTTAAAGACGTAGACATAAAATTTGGCGTTAAAATATCTTTCGATAAAATATTTTCTTCAATGGATGATATTATATCTGTTACTGAATTAAGATCTATTTTCATAATATTTGTAGAATTAATTGTTGGACTAAGTACTGTTCCTGGAAGACAGCTTGCAACCAAGGCAGAGCCTAAAAGAGTAACTACTCCTGCAGTATATGTTGCCAGACAAATGGACGATATATTTACCACAGCTTGTGCTACTGCTATTAATTGCATTGAATTCATTAGGCAAGTTAATTCTGTATATGAAAACCAGCCTCTTTTCTGTGCTTCTTTATAGGCTACATCTTTTTCTAATTTTTGTAATCTTTCCCAAAAGTCTTGATGATAAACAAAAACAGTCCAATCCTGAATAATTGACAAGGTCTTGTAAATATTTGTATATAAATTGATACGTTGTAAATACGGTAATATATTTAATTTGCTTACAATAGCTTTGAGAAAGTCCTTTTCTAATTGATTTATTTGTAATACAGTCAGATCACCTGATTGTGCCCATTCAGTATTAAAAACTTCATTTTCTTCTCCCTCATCGTTTAAAAATTTACTAGCCACCATCTAAGTAATAAAAAGTATTATACTTTGAATAACGACATTCTTCGAAAATAATTTTATTTGGAGAAAACATAGTACCAAGGAAACAAGGAAGAGCTCAGAAGGTGCCACTTGTTGAAGATATTGTGGATTACAATCTTTTAATCTCTCCAAGTACAATAATGCCAAAACCAAGGAACATGGTGAAACACATGCATTTCTAGATATTTTGCTAGCCTCTTCCACATCCAATCTTTCAAGCGTATAACTACCCTTTACTTCAGTGAACAACTCTGCTGCCAATTCTAAAAATAAAGTTTAATTACATAATCATTAATGATAAGAACTACTTAATTGTATAACATCATTAAAATGTCAAAATATAGAAAGTTTGCTCAAGTATTATAATAATTTATAAATTATTAGTTACTTAGACAGTTAAAATACAATAGCATATAGGTTATAAAAAAATAATATATTACTTTTGATACAAATAATTTTTTAAGACTATTATATTGTTAGAATTAGAATGCGCACGCGTGTGTATGTTTGAAACTATATAATAGTTATAATTTTCTTTTATAATATATTCAATAGCGAGTATATCAATATTTTTAAAAATTAGTGATACTAACCAGTAACAGGTAAACTGAGGCAATCGGTCACTGGTAGTTTCGAATAGTAAAGCGATTTTGATATGCGAGTTAAAAATTCATCGTGATTACCTATGCTCTGTAAATAAAAATTAGGTTAGGAAATTTTTGTATTTCTTTCAAAAATACGATATGGAACTATATGTTACCTTCAAGTTTGATGGGTTTTTCCTTTTTCTTGGAATAGTCGACATATTAAAACACTAATAAAAATGAAAGAATATCAATTTTAAGTAATATGTGGAAAACAGAAGCAACAGTCAATTTTTTCGGTCGTATCGTACTTTCAAAACGAGCATAGGTATATCAACGTGTAATTTTGCGTAGATGATTTATGTTTCATAATGAATGGAGCTAGAGATAGAACACCACTGGTACCACTACAAATATTTAATCAGCTGATCTATAAAATATTAAAATACTTATTCGTCGAATTGTATATTGCACGTTCGTGTGAAAAGAAAGATTAAACAAAAAGTGAAGTATAGAATGTACACAAATGTTGAGAGAGATTACATTTGTAGAATAATCTTACCTTATTACGTTGTTGGCATAACTGCGAGGCAATGAACTCGTAATTGAATTACCAAAATCGAGCGACTAGAATGAGTGAATAAGAAGCTTCAATTTTGATATATAGAAATAAGGAAAAAGTCGGTGTTACTTTTCAGTTATAAGTATATATATAGTCTTATATTCAGGGAGAATTAATAACGCCTGTTGTCTCTGTTGATGTTCTTAAATTGTTTCTATGAACGTGGTACGAGTATACCATTCTTATTAGCGATTCTTTTGTAGCTAGTTTCATACATTAAATAGGTTATTTGACATATGTCAGATTTCTTATTACCGAATTAGTGACTAATTAGCGGAATCAAGAGAGGGATGAGTCAAATGAAGAGCGGCGTCAGGCAATAATAAATTACGTGAAAATGTGGTGGTAGTGATGCGTTTAAAAGGGAAAAATAATACAAAATCGTTTCAAAGCGTCTACAAGGTGCTCTCGCGTATATGCCGTAAGTGTAGCCTATATCTCGTTTTTCAATTAATTAAATTGTCTGTCGCCTGCCTTGAAGTAATGTGATTATTACATAAACATAACAGTTGAAACTTATTTAATTAAGATTAATTACTGCCTTTTTTATTTTTCTTATATTAAGTTTTAGACGATTCAAATTTTTTTATAATTCTCAAAAAATTGCCTTAATTTTATAATGAATAAATTTATTGACAAATGAATTGTAATTAACTGTGACTTTAAGAGACTATTAAAATTACATGAAATTGGAAAGAATTAAAATTATGTTGTTTTTACTTGAAGTATTTAAATACGAATGATGGATGGAGATAATTGTTTCATTAGGAACTGCAGATAAAGGACAACTTGATGGTTTCATGGCGGATGGAGCAGTACCGCCAATGAAGAATGGCCATAACTGTAATAATACTATGGGTTTCGCAACGCAACCAGTAAAACAAACATCTGATGTTTCTAATACTGTTTACGCCGTGGGGCAATATGCTCCAAAGGTTTTAAGGAATTTAAATGCCCAAAGACTAAAAAATCAATTTAGTGATGTAGGTTTGGTTGCTGGTGGTAGCATTATCAGAGCACATAGATCAGTTCTGGCAGCAGGAAGTGCTTATTTTAATGCTATGTTCACTGGTGGTTTGGTAGAAGAACAGCAGGAGTTAGTAGAAATTCATTCAGTATCAGCTAACATTCTTTCTCTCTTGGTGGATTTCATTTACACTGGGAACGTTGATATTACCCAGGACAATGTTCAAGAATTATTTGCAGCTGCTGATATGCTAGAATTAGATGAAGTAGTGTTTGGTTGCATTACCTATTTAAAACAGCAACTGCATTATTCGAACGCCCTTGGGATTTATAGGTGAGACAAGCAAATTAAGCAAGTTTATATTCTTTAAATTGTAGGTTTGTCAGATATACCTACATTATTGTTAAGAATCTTTTTTAGAACAATTACGTATAAATTACATAACATAAAAATGATTATGAATAAATATGTTAAATAGATTCGCAGAAGCCCATAACAGATTAGATCTTTTGGAAACTGCCCTACGCTTTATACAAGTCAATTTTCCTCAAGTATCTCAGGAGGAGGAATTTTTGGATCTGCCGAAAGAACATCTTGTTCATTTTCTCAGTAGTGATTATATTCATATTGATACTGAATTCCAGGTTTGTGCTTTGTACATGTTGTTGAAATATACTTGGTTCGTGTAATGGCATATTTCTTACATTTTGGTTTTTTGATACGTTGTTAGGTCTTCCAAGCAGCATATAATTGGATTGTTCATGATATACCAACAAGAAGATGTTATGTATTTGAAATATTAAGTCATATACGTTTACGGCTGTGTTCATTAGCGAGATTGGAACGAGTTATTCTGGAATGTAAAGACGCGAGTCTCATTGTTGCATTAAGGTCTATACAAAAGGATTTAGTATCAAATAAAGGATGTCTTGTGCCTCTTCACGCACAACCCAGACTTTGCGCTAAAAAAAACATTTTAGTGATTGGCGGATCACGACGTGAACATTCAGCAGATAGTTGGGGTAGAGCTGCTGAAAGTACTTATGAAACAATTGAAAAATATGATATATTTACTGGGTATAATTCTCTTTGTACATATTTGCAAGTTAAAAATGATATATATCTAATATTATCAAATCATTGAATGATAATATTATCTACAGTGAATGGAGTGAAGTAGCGCCAATTGGTATAGGGCGAATACTACCAGGAGTTGCATTATTGGATGGTAAAGTTTACGTTGTCGGCGGAGAACTTGAATCATGTATTATTGCTAATTGCGAATGTTACGATCCACGTGATAATGTATGGACTTCAATTGCTTGTATGGAAGAACCTAGATGTGAATTTGGACTTTGTGCCTTGGATAATAGCTTATATGCATTTGGTGGTTGGGTTGGTGAAGATATTGGTGGATCGATAGAGATATACGATCCAATAACTAATTCTTGGACACTTGATGGACAACTTCCTGAACCCAGATTCAGTATGGGAGTAGTTGCTTATGAAGGTGAATTAACTTATTTAAAGAATTAAAGAATCCTTTATTTTTAAATTAAGATATAGAGTATGATCTTACATTTTAATACGTCATTTAGGATTAATATACGTAGTCGGTGGTTGTACGCATAATAGCAGGCATCGCCAAGATGTAATGAGTTACAATCCAGTAACACGAGAGTGGACTCATTTAGCTCCAATGCTCACCCCGCGTTCACAAATGGGAATTACTATTCTCGATGGATATATTTATGTTGTTGGTGGTACTAATAAAAATCAAGAAGTTTTAACGTCCGTTGAACGATATTCCTTTGAAAAGGTGATTTATTCTTTTTTATCTATTATAATATTCTTTAGATCTTTTCTACGTTATAATCTTGTCCTATTTCAGAATAAATGGAGTACTGTTGCATCTATGAATATGGGTAGATCATATCCTGCAGTTGCAGCAGCTGATAGTAGACTTTATGTTATAGGAGGTGATCAGTCTCAGGAAATCAATTTTTATCGAACGCAAATTACAATTTCTACTGTTGAATGTTACGATCCCCATTCGAATAAATGGCATGAATGTGCTTCGTTGCCGACAAGTAGAGGCGAAGCGGCGGCAATCGTTGCACCTTTTTGATTGAAATTTTCTTTCGATCATATCACTCTAATCACATGCGTTTCTTTTTGAATTTCATAATGATATCTGAACATCTATTAAATATTTCTTAAATCTAAATATGATATCAAATGAGAAACATACATTTTTTGAACTATCTTCATTTACGTCGTATATACAAACATGCATAATCATGCAAAATCAAACATACATAATCTTTGATGTATTTTTTATAGATTACAATTTTAACAGTTGAGACAGCATTTTTCCTAACGAACATAAGATGCAACAGGATTTGAAAAAATAAGAAATGTTTCATTGTAATAGTACAGTGCTATTTTCTGTACCCACCGTATTAAATTACTTATGCTGATTTTCAAAAAAAAATTTATTATATATATTTAATAATGAAAGTAGCTGAAATTGACTTCCACATATTTTAAAAAATCCTTAGCATAATAAAAATCTTAGTTGTAGAAATGACTGACAGCCTTCACATTCTTTAGTCGTTTACCAAAGTTATCAAGAATACAAAATATGATATTCTATTGTAAATTTTATCACACTACAACGAGAGATAAACGGAGCGTATATTTCCATGTAGTATGTGTGAAATGAAATGTTCTTAGTGCAAAAGAATGCGAGTGAGATATATCTAGTTTTCATCACAAAATTGTGTGTTACAATTGCGCGTACTTGTGATATTTATCAATTTTTTCTCTATAAATTAATATTTTTCGTAATAATTGTGTATGTATATTTCGTTACTTATTCATTTTTGACGGTGTAAGGAGAGACGAATACTTAATGCTTAATGATATTATACTCTTAATTTTTTAAACAATCATGTAAAGATATCTTATAATTTCTGAAGTCATATTTTATAGAATCACATGTCATTTTCATAAATTAAGTAACCGCATCTTACGTTAATAAGTTTTATTGAGAAACTATTACAATTAATCTACTTTTTTAAATCACTTTAAAAAAAAAATGTATCTGATATGATGACTTGAATAAATTGGAAGTATCTTTTGTATCATAAAATTCATACAAAAAATTTCGACTTGGAAGTTATAAAATAACTCGTGTAATGATACAAAAAGAAAAACCAAATAAGGGATTGCTTATCACATTTATATATTGCTTTTATAAATTTATAAATATTGATAAGTACTTAGCTTGAAAATAATTTTCATAAAACGTATATATTGTATCAATGTGATTCTATAATCAGTTGTTTTTAGTATTTCCATCATAGAAACAACTTCTGTTACATCAATTAATAGTTCTATATACTTATACCAAAGTTCTGCTTAACAAATGATTTATATAAAATGTTATAAAATGTTAGAAAATGAACAGTAACTTGTATTAAGTTTTAATTTGTTGCTCTGTTTTAATCGATTGCTCTTTTTATATTGATCTTTTTTTTTAATAAATATAAAATATTGAATGTTTTGCCAAAAATTGCGCTTTAAAATGATATTTATTAAAAAGAATTGTTTAAAATTCATTGAAGCGAAACTTTAATTTTTGTTGTCGTTACATTTTTTTATTATAGTTATATAAACAGTATATACTTTTTAACTATATACTACCATGAATTATATGTTCATCAGTTATTGTCCTAGAATATTGTAGAAAGAAGTTTAGTTTTAATTACTCTGTCATATTTATAAACGATATTCTTTCTTATTATGCTAATTTACGGATATATATGTATACGTTATTCAAAGTGCTATTCAAAGGTAAAAAAATGGCCTTCATATAATTTAATTATGTTAATGACATTAAGAGATTAGCTTTTAAATTTTGTTTGGTTGCCGATTTGAAAGTATACAACAGTAAATATGTAATGCACCTTTGTCAGGACCGAAACTAAAGGAATTGCATTGAATTCATAAATAGTTGAGAAATATCATGAATACAATGATGTATGCATGTGTACATTTACATACATACGCTTTACGCCAATTTAAAAAAAAAATCTATTTGGAGATACAGACATTTCACACGCAATTTTTATACAAAAAAGTATTACAATAAATGTTACATAGATAAAAAGAAAATATGTAAAACACGACTGTATTCTCCAATGATACTTAAAAATTATAATGTACATACATAAGTTCGGTATGTGAACGTTTTACACAATATATGCTATAAAATATTAAACTGTCTCAAAAATTACAAATAAATATTTAAAGGTAAATTACCACTAGTCTTATTTAGTACGCTAATAAATTAACTTTAAAATAAAATACTGAAAAAAAATCATCGTTAGTGTTTTCATTACATTATTTTCATGGAGAATGAAGAAGTTCATTTTATTTTTATGTAAATATACAATTACCAACTTTTCTAATACGAAAAAAAATATATCTTATGTAAAATTGAAATATATAAAAAAATTTTTGTGTTAGCTAACATGATAAAATTCAAGGGGAACAACTAAGTAAATATTGAAGCGAATGCTTCGAAATAAATTCAACATCGTTGAATACGAAACATTTTATTTATATAAGGACTGACAAATATCTTTTTAAGCAAATTTGTAATAATCAATTTTTAATTTAAAAGAATTTATGTATAATTTGTTTAAAGAAGTCCAAGAAATAAATACTATCAAAGTTCATTGGTGTCTATATCTTATGAGTCACATTCAATTATTTTAGCTGATTTATAAAATAAACAATAATAAGCGAAGGATGCTAATTTTTACGAAGATTATATAAATGTATGATACATCTTACATATGCTTAAAATCATTACAAAACATAATCCAATTCGTATCTAATATACTGATTCTTTGGATCATTCATAATTCGAGGGTAACCAGCTACAAGAGCATCTTGTCCACCTATATAAAGAGAATTATAAATTTTCCAATATACATCTCGTACTTTTCGTGCCGGATGGAACAATCCCTGTAAAAATCATAAAAATATCCATTATATTAATGTATTAATACAATATACTGAATAATTTACCTGTAAAGTATATTGTAGTATTTTAATTGGTCCAAGAGCGACACGTAAACCGTCCACGGCATCCATAAATGCTTGTACCAAGTGTGGTGAAGTTTCAAAAACGTTGGGCCATACATGATTCAATAAATGAATCAATGCATCTTCACATCCAAATCCGTAAACACCCAATGCCATGTGTTTAATAGCAGCACATGCAGTTTGTCTGTGCACTAAATCTCTATAATAATAATATTAAATTAAACTCATATTATTCTCCAAAAACTGGTTTTTTGTATAAATATTCTTTTTACCTGTCCATGAGAGCATCTTCTAACAATGGACTAACAGCATAAATGTAATCCTTTCCCATTTCTCCGATATATTCAAACAAAAAGGACAGAGATTTTAACACACCATTTTGTACGTTCAGTTCCGGTACTCTATATTCATTCATTAAAGCAGGAAGTACTGTGAAGGGACTACAGGTTTCAGCTACGATAGCAATAGCTACTGTAGTGCACACACGATTTTGACGTTCCTGTACTTTTAAGTTGTTCAAAAGAGTTGCTAATACATCATGAGGTCTGACACAAAAAAGATAAAAGGTGATATTAAACATGATGTCGAAACGTAACTATAAAACGTATACTATAAAAATTTTTATATCTAATTTACTTACCCTATTGCTTTTGCAATGTAACCAAATGTATTCACTGTCGCTCTCCTAATCGCTTTTTTGTGGGCTTTGAGCAATTCCAAAAGTTCAAAACATATTCTCATCCATTCTCTAGCGGACACATATTCAGGTCCTCTATCTGCAATCCTACCTACGAGATCAATACAATTTTCTTGTACCTAAACAGAAAAATTTAGTTATAAGTAGCAAATATATATTTTTAATGTATGTCCAAGTATATTTGAGCATATAAGGCAAACCTTTTCATGTCTGTTTTTCAGAATAGGAGTTAAACGTGGTAGTAAATCTTTAATAGGTGGTGTCATTTTTGTCATTCCTATGACATTGACAATAGCTTTTAATGCGCCCAAAATACTTCCCAATACTTCAGGATATTCTTCACCTAAATATTCATAAAGAACGACACCTAAATGACCCATTAATTTTTCCTACAAACAGAAATAAATATGAATGTTACATCATACATGTATCATATATGTATAAAGTGCAAAATTTACCTCTTGACAAGTTTTCATAACGACAGCAATTCGTGATATTAAATCAGCAGCTTGTTGTCTTACTTTTGCAGATTTATTGTTTAATCTCCATAAAATTGTACCACAGATTTGTGGAAGATATGCTTTCACTCTTTTTCCTAATGTATTCACAATAGTTCCAAACCCATTCAACATTACAACATCCTGTACAATAAAAACGAACACATACAAACAAACAAATAAATTCATTATAATATATGTATAACTTAAAATTCTTTATGAAAATTACAAACCTCTGTTGTCTGTTCTTGGAAAGCATATAAAATACCGTCAATGAGTTGTTCTTCTAAACGAGAATCAACATCCGCAGCTCCTAAATTTCCCATTATTTTCTCAATGGTTTCCATTACCATCTTTCTATATTGTTCGTTTTCATCTTTTAAATCATCTACTACACGATTTATAATTTCTGATGCACCAACTTTATTTGCAATTTCTACAGTCGTATCAACAAGCTATAGAAATGAAGACTTATAAATTTGTGGTTTCTGTAATTATTTTTAGCATATCTACTGTATACAATGTATATAATACCTACCTGTCTATAATTTCGACGATCCAAAGCCATTCGATGATTCCAGAAGTGTTTGAAAAAATGTGGAAGGATCTCATCTTTGATGTATTGTGCTTCTACACCATCCGTTCCACAACATTGTTTCACTACCTATAGATTTCAACATAATTATACTATATCACGATAAGTAATATTATAGATGTAATTATAACTTAAAGTACTTACTTTCAGTACAATTTTTTTCATTTCTTCATCAGGAGACTGGAATTCACGAATAAGGATTAACATTACTTCACGAGTATAGTAATTAGCATATTCAGCATCCATAAGAGGAATTAAATAACCAATAGCTTTTAAGAATGCGGCAAGACCTTTCCCTCTATGTGTACGAATACCCTTCCACAATGGTTTTAAAACAGAGTCGAAACTCTCGATACCATAAGGTGTGGCTGCTTCTGCTAAAGCAGCAATTGCTAAAGCAGTGATAGTACGAACTTTTTGTTGCTCGTCGACGAGGCCTATAAATTAATTAGTCCTTTTTAAGTGTCTTTGAAATACAATTTAGTTTTTATTTTAAAAAGTAATTTCAGTACCATGTTCTATAATTTCGACCAAACTCTTCAGATGTGGTAATATAGCACATCCCATAAGAATAGCGATTTGTTGTACAATTTTAATACCCGTGTGACGAGCTTGCCATGATTTTTTACTGCGACACACGGCTTTGAGAAATGGAAGTAAAGAAGGAATTCCTAAAGCTGATGCAACTACAGCGAATGCCCTGGCTGTTGTATTACGAACGTATTCATCAATATTGTCAATATCTGGTCTCATCGTGGAGATCATCGTCGCTAAACCAGCTGCTTTTGCCAAATTAGAAATAATTTCTCTGCCTTCAACGCGAGCATAGTAGTCTTCATCAATGAGTAAAGGTTCAATGACGACCAAAATCTAAAAGTAAATCGTGTTTTATCAGTGCTACTAAGAAACGATTAAAGATACTACATAAAGCAAAATTTACCTTATGTACGTAAGGTCTAACCAAATCATCGAGTTTGTAAAGAATACGATCAATAACTTTCACAAGAAGATGACGCTCTTGATCTTCCAATGTTGGAGACATAAGAAGAGGAAGTATCTGGTTAAACAAAGGACCTGCTCCAAATTCTCTTGCTTTGTCCGTAATTTGTCTCAGAGCAGCTTTCCTCATTGGTGGCGTACCATTTTTAATTTTTAATAACAGTTTCATTATTTTCCTTTCTTTTTGTTCTTCAGGACTAAGCGTTTCTTCATCAACATCAACCAACAGTTTATCAAAATATTGTGCGTCCTCTGGTTTCATAAAAGGTAAATTTCCTTTTGGCTGATTGTCTACAAATTTTGCGGTTTTATCTTCAGTTTGGATGAAAAATCCTTGTGGTGTGCCCGCGATTGGCGTTGGCGTAGCAGTGAGCTTCCTTGCAGGTGTGCGAATTGGAATATATCCTATATTATGAAAAGATATGATTAAATATTTTTTTCATCATGATTTTTAAATATTCAAGTTTACACAAGATTTACCTGCTGGTGGTTGCAAAACTTTGTATCCAGGTGGGAATAAAGCATCCAATTCATCATCTGAAAGTGGTCTATTTCTCTCATCGATTTCTCTTTCCCAACGATATGCTTGAAGTTGTTCTGGTGTCATTGACATTAAATGTCCTGGTGTTGGAGTTGCTAATCCCATAGCTTTGGGTCCTGTCGGTGTTACACCACTAGGTGTTAAAATCGAAGTTTGATGTGGTGTTGTAAGAGGGGTTGCCGGAGTTTGTGGCGTCATGGACCCAGGTGTTTGATTCGAAGGCGTTTCATCCCATCGACTTCGACGTTTACTAGCAGAAGGTGTTGGTGTCTCTTGAATTAAATCTCCTGCAACTCGGTCTGTTCTTGGCGTTTCTGCCCAACCGCTGCTATGACCGGGTGTTTCTAACATTTAAAACAATTTTATTATTTCACTATTCATTTATAATTTATTATTAATTTAATAAAATTAAATTTTATTTACCACGTTCAGTTTTCGGTGTCTCATCCCAACGATTTCTACGGCTTGAAACAGTTTTTTCATGGGAAGGAGTTTCCCTACCAGGAGTAGCTGCACCAGGCGTTGCATGTCCTGGAGTAGCATCCCACATTCTTGTACTTACACCTGGTGTTGCACCAGGAGTTTCTCCGCCTTTACCATGACCAGGTGTTTCATCCCATCTGATTGCAGCAGGTGTTACCTGCAATATTTTACTAGGTTATTTTCTTTGTTTCAAAATTAATTTCATAAGTATCTATTTACTTACATCCGCATTGTCCCAGGATGTTGGTGTTGCAGTTGTACCAGTTGGTTTCTTAGGTGTTGGAGCATCATCTGTTTGATCCCAACGACCTCTTTTCTTAGGCGTAGGTTTAGGTTCACCATTTGCTTTCAATGTTCCTTCTTTGGCTTTTTCTGCTAATTTCTTTCTCAACTGCAAGCAAATATTATGTGAGTAGACAATAATGGAAAAAATTGAACATATTAAATGCTGATTGCATACCTCAGTTTCTTCACCTTTCAATAACTGTTCTCGCATAATCACGGTATAAGTCCTAGAACCGATGTCTGGCGTCTTACCACCTGTAATCAGGAACCAAAAGTCACGCAAAGCGTAACCATTAGTTATTTGTTCAATGAATGCTTAAATTTTCAAAAACTTCTGAACATACCTAGCCATATTATAATGATATATATTGTTAAAATGCCCTTAGAATATTTGGGTATATTCTAAGTAAACTACTGAATTCACTCTCATTTCCACGTTGCATATATCATCAAATTAAGTAACAATGAAACAGTTTTGTAGAAGAAAATATGATAGTAAGACTGAATAGAATATCGCGTTAATTACACAACGGGTTTGAGAGAGCTGCAACAGTAGATGGCATATAGCATACGTACGTGAAAATTTGGTGCCATAGGGAGCACTGTCCTGCTCATGTCTTCCACATCGAAAAATACTTTAGCCATCTAAAAATTAACTCATTCTTGTTATTAATAATATTTGCACACAAACCACTCATACTATTTTTCAATATTTACGTTCTCACGAGAAATGTGTGATACAATGAGAATTTAGTAATCCATGTTATAAATGTAAGCAATTAAAATTTCAAATAAAAGATGCGAAAAAGAAAATTTATAAAAATACATTAAATTATAATTGAATATTAAAAAAAAGTCTCATTGTATCATTTATACGACGTGACTGTAATGTTCTGTGACAATTCAATCTCGCTTAACCTTCGACATAGTATCCTCGGTAAGCAGATGATTCCAAATGTGCAGACCGTCACTAAGATTGGAAAAAAATGTAAACATTAGTATTTATTTGAAAGAATCACATTCACTCTCTTCATTCAAGCCAGTCTTATTTATTTCTTAACGCTTCCACAATTTAAGCATGAAAAATTTTTAAACCTATTATTAATAACTGAGATGAATATCTCAAAATCAAATATTTTAAACTGTACAAGCAAATTATAATCTGCATCCTTATTAGATTAAATCTAATTAAAATTAGTTGATTGTAAACAATAAAGAACGTTATAAAACACAATATTTCTGTTTGAAACAACTTCTATCTCAGTTATTATAATTAGTAATACTACAGCAATAGAAATGTATTGCTCAATATATATTCATTGAAGTAGATTAAATAAATATATATATTATTTTTTAATATTAAAAATAACTTTTTAACTATGTATGTTGTAATATTTTTACATTTAATACCTCTTTAAAACATCTATATACAAATTTATCTAACTAATGTACAATCTCATATGATTTAATGAAAATATTTTGATTTTGTGGAGTATTCAATCACTTTGGAATGGTGTGTATGATAAATGAATTAAATCATATTACAAATAAATAAAGTTTTTGTATATTTGTTCATAAATTATTCAAAGAAATTAAGCTACATTACTAATTATTTGAAAAATCATAATTTTATAGAAATTCAAATTTCATCTTCTCTATTATTTTTTGACAAAGATATAGAAACATAATAAAAATTATAAAATATAGAAATTAATAGTCAATGGACATTTAGTTATTGAAAGTGTGATATTTTGATTGTGATAATCAGTTATAGTTCCATTAAATGATATAAAAAAAAGTCAACTTGATTACTTTTTAATCATTTAAAACAAATAATAATGTGCATTAAAATGAATTTCATTTTTATTACATTAAAATCAGGTTGACTTTTTTCCACATGTTGAAGTATATTTAAGATGACTTTAGTTTTTTATAAATTGCAGTGATAGAAGCTTTATTGTGCATATATTTTGTTGCAATATAATTGGTACTTAAATACATTAAGTGATAAAAATTCTGAAAACATTTTGAATGTATGATAAGTTATTATGTAATTAATCTTACTTCATTATATTGCTTCAAAATACTAACAAGAATAATAATATATAAACACACTTAATATCTAATTACCTGTTGTGTTTTTAAATTGTTTAACTTAATAGAAAAAAATACCAACCTTCTGCAAAGGGATCAACACGCTCAGGTGATATAATCATTCTTCGTCTTTTTTGTCTATATTCATCTTCTCTATCAGCTATGGTGGGTCGTCGTCTGTCCGCGAAAGGATCATAATCTTTCTCACTCTGGAAGATAAAAAAATTAAACATTATTAAATTAAAATTATTAATACCATCAGTAACATTAATAAATATAATATTTTTAAAATATACCTGTGCAACATCGTTGAGCAATGCTGCTGGTGCAGTATATCCTGGTCTTTTATTAGTATTAAATGTCGTCGGTTCATAATCTTCATCCTTAAATGAAAATTATTATTATAAAATATTTCAATAAAGACAAAGAAAAAAAAATGGTATTACCTCAATTTCATCGTTTGCTGCGATAGATGTAACATAGCCTTCATATTTATTATTACTTCCGTCATAAATATCTTGATCATAGAAGCCAGTTTTTCCTAGTCCTACTTGATCCTTTTCTGTAGACGCATTTTGAATCTCTTTCTTCTTTGACTGTATTTCTCTTATTTGTGCTTCAATATCTAGAAATTGTTAATAATAATTAGCATTATATGAATCCATTCGAGATACACACTAGCATTTATCAAAGATTTGATATCAAAGGAAAGCTAAGACAATTGAGATTAAACATCAGTAAATGACACAATTTTTTTTATTACAGAATCAAAGAAATTTAGATTGAGGTTCAGCAAATATTCGGTAATTAAATTACATAAATGATTGGAGTTGTTGGTAACAATTTACAATAGTGCATAACTCAAATTATAAATGATAGAATTACAAATATAAAAGAACAAACCTTCGTGCGTTCTGGGGATGGAATCCATCGTGCAGCATTAAAACTTGTCACAAAGTTATTCTGGAGAACATGTAAAAGACACAGTAAAGAACCAAATTCCGTTTTATTCCTTACCAATCTTTACATTGGTAATATTATAAGATGGCACAGTATCAAATATTTCCAAATCATGAAACTTCGTTTACATGAATATTCAGCTTGGCAATTAGTGCCAAGTGTTCAATAAAATTTGTCGCTTCATGAGAATGAGTTTAAATTAGGGTATAACATTTTTTTTCAATTCCTAGTTTCTGGAAGGATTGATTACGAAGCGATTATCTTCAATTCTTGGAGATTAATTACATAGATATATTTATCTCTATAATAGAGATTAATTAAAAAGTGATTATTTTTTATAAATAAAAATTCCTTAAAAAGATTAATATGTTAAACAATATTAATTAAAGGCTGATCGCAACTCATAGGAATCGGATCCACGCGTTGAATTTCCGGCGGTTTCAGTCGCGTTTTTCGAAAAGTTTCATATCAAAATTGAGGATAAATCTTTAATTTTTATACGATTAACTTATTATCTACTTATAATATATTGTATACGTATAATAAATATTATATTCATTTTCATATTATATTTATATACAATTCAATTTTTCAATATAACTTCTACAAGAAATTTAAAATTATAAACTATTTGAGTAACTCGTGGATAGAAATTGTAAATCTTTATCTACATATTTCGTAGGTCAAACAAAATACAGAAATAAAAGCACAGAGTCCAATTAAAAAGATACAATTGGAAACATTCATAAATTCAACTAATTTATTAGTTTTCTTTCTTACAAAAAAAAATTTATTTGATGCGAATTTACATAGTGGCGGAAATTGTAGATTAATCGCTATTTCTATTCTTGTCGCACACTAATGTGCTCCTTGTCTATTACACAAAACATATCTGTCCTTGTCGCACAGTATTGCCCTCTTTGTCTACAAACAAACAATGTGCTGCCATCT